CAAAATTCTGCACATTTTAAAACTAAATAACATTGTTCCACATACCTTTGATTTCTGCACTGCATGTCAATTTGGTAAGCTTCACCAATCAGTTTTTCCTAGAACTAATTCAAGAGCCTCTCAACCATTAGAGCTGATTCATTCAGACCTTTGGGGACCATCCCCCATTTCCTCACCTGAAGGTTTTCGATATTATATTCAATTTCTAGATGACTATAGCCGATTCACTTGGATTTTTCCTCTGAAAAACAAATCAGAAACTCAACATATCTTTAAACAATTTCATATCTTAGTAGAAAAACAATTTAAGTCTACCTTAAAATGTGTCCAAACAGATTGGGGAGGGGAACATAGGAGTTTAGTTCCATATTTTCTTGATCATGGGATTGTTTTTAGGCATTCATGTCCTTATACCCATCAACAAAAAGGAAGGGTTGAAAGAAAACATAGGCAAATAGTAGAACAAGGTCTAACTCTCCTTGCTCAAGCCAACATGCCTTTAAAATTTTGGTGGCTTTCTTTCCAAATTGCTGCTTACCTTACAAATAGACTGCCCACGTCTGTACTATCTAGTTTGTCTCCATTTCAGACCTTGTTTAAACAAATTCCAGATTATAAATGCATTAGAGTTTTTGGTTGTGCAGTCTACCCTTACCTTAGATCTTGTAACTCTCACAAATTTGATTTTCACACCACCACATGCACATTTGTAGGATATAGCATGCATCACAAATGATACAAATGCATGGACTCTAAAGGCAAGATTTATATATGTCAAAGTTCTAAATTTGATGAAAATCACTTCCCTTTTGCACTTACCAAAGCTACTGTATTATGTCCTAAAACCAACCATTCTCCAAAGTCCCTATCTTGTGATGATAGTTCTTTGAGAGTCATCCTTTCTTTGTCTTCTGCACCCTTGTCTTCTTCTTCTTCTTCACCAGTTTTATCCCCAATTGGTCAGCAAAGATCATCTGCAGCTCCATTATCACAATCTAGTTCATTATCCCAATATGCCAATACTTCAGTTCCATCTCCTTCTTTAGCACAATCTTCCTCACATAAAACACTAGCCGTTGATCCTTTAGTAGAGTCTTCCTCACATTTTCCTTGTAAATTACCCACTGTTTCACATTCCCCTACTATATTACCAACTACACCTGTAATTGAGTCTTCTCCACAATCTTCGAATACACTAGTTACTGAACCTTTTGTTCAGCCTCTCACAAATTCTCTAACTACATTAGCAGTACCATTATCTCAGTCAGCCTTAGTTCCTAGTATCTCCCCTTTGCAAACAGACTGCTCTCCTAGTTCTCTTGAATCCATTCACCTTCTTGTAGATCTACCCTTTCCTAATCGCCAATCCACTCACCACCATTGATACCACAGTCAATAATTCCCATTCATTAAATATTCACCCCATGGTTACTTGGTCTAAAGCCAAACTTCCCATATCCATGTTAGTCTCCTTTAATTCTCATCTAGATACAAGTGAACCAAAGAGTGTAGCCGAAGCTTTATCTCATCCATCCTGGAAAGCTACCATGGAGAGTGAGTTCAATGCCTTAATGTCCAACCATACTTGGGAACTTGTTCCAGCTGAACCACACATGAACATTGTTGGATGTAAATGGGTTTTTTGAGTGAAACATAACTCTAATGGATCTATTCAATGATTCAAAGCTAGACTTGTTGCTAAAGGTTTTCAACAAAACCCCGGAGTTGATTATCTTGAAACCTTTAGCCCTGTTATCAAGTCTTCTACCATTCAAGTTGTTCTAAGCTTGGCTATCACATATGGCTGAGATATCCAGCAAGTTGATGTTAACAACGCTTTTCTAAATGGAGAGCTTAGTGAGACAGTTTTAAAGACCCAGCCGCAAGGTTTCATTGATGATGAAAATCCTCTTCGTGTGTGCAAATTGGTAAAGACACTATACAGACTCAAGCAAGCCCCTCGGGCAAGGTTTGAGAAGCTCCAAAATGCCTTCCTGCAGTGGGGATTTACCTGTTCAGTAGCTGATCCTAGTCTGTTTGTTTACAGACACAACAATCAGGTTATGTATGTAGTCGTCTATGTTGATGACATCCTATTGACAGGCAGTGACGATAAACTAGTTCAAGACATTGTGCATAAACTGAATCTTGAATTTGCCTTAAAAACCTTGGGCTCTCTTAAGTACTTTTTGGGGTTTGAGGTTCAAAGAACAGCTTTAGCATTACATATGAGTCAAGACAAATATGCACGAAATTTGCTACTTAAAACTGGAATTTCAGACTCCAAACCATGCTCCACTCCAATGGCTTTAGGGAATAAATTAACATTTGAAGATAGTGAGCTGTTTGACAACCCATCCCTCTACCGGAGTACCATTGGTGCACTACAATATCTAACATTATCCAGGCTTGATATTGCATTTTCTGTCAACAAATTAAGCCAATTCCTAAAAGCTCTCACTCAACTTCATTGGCAAACATGTAAAAGGCTTCTTCGATACCTTAAAGGCACTTCAAACTTTGGTGTCAAGTTCACCAAAATTCAAAGATTTCATCTTGAATGCTTCACTGACATTGACTGGGCAGGAAGTATTCAGGACAGACGCTCAACCAGCGGCTGCTGCTTATTCCTTAGGTCTAACTTGCTGCAATGGAGCTCTAGGAAACAAAAGGTAGTGGCACTATCTTCTACTGAGGCTGAGTATAGAGCTCTTGCTCAGGGTGCCTTAGAAATAGCCTGGTTCCACAGTTTATTCACTGAAATGGGTCTGCACCTTCTTGAAATTCCTGTTATATGGTGTGATAATCAGAGTGCTGGTTCACTTGCATCTAATCCAGTTTTTCACGCTCGAACGTAGCACATTGAGTTGGATGTGCACTACATTAGAGAACAAATTGTAGTAAAAAATTTAAAAGTCTGCTATGTTCATACAGAACACCAAACTGCAGACATCTTCACCAAGTTTCTGTCCACTTCGAGATTTGAAGCTCTCAGATTTAAACTTACAGTTGTTTCCTCTCTTCTACAGGAAGCCTCAGCTTCTAAAGTCATCTCTCCTGTCCAAGAACTCTGAGTTTCTGCTAAAGCTCTTTTCTCTGTACAACATTGACAGTTCGATCAAATCTCTCTGTTTCAGATTAACTCTGTGAGATAATACTGGTGTTTCATCAGTTTCTTGTTACTGAGAATTGTGAAGTTGAGCACTGCTAGTGGGGGTGTTAAGTACTGCTGATAGTGGTGATCAGCTCATTAATTGAATTTGGATCAGTTCATTATGATTAGCAGATGTAATGTGTCAGATCAGTTTAATGAGAGTGCTGCTGGTAGCATTGCTCAGAATCAGATTAATGTGCAAGATCAAAGTTAATGTGTTTGCTGCTGATTGTGGTGATCAGTAAATTAGGTTCCTGTCGTGTGGAGAATTAGTCTTATGTGAATAATGTTGATCAGTTCATCAGATTTATTAGAAGTATTGTTGTTACGTGATGGATTAGCTCAATTGATAATAATGAGAAATAGTGCAATTCAATGATGGTATGAAGAAAGCAAGAGTTGTATCAAGGTGGTTTAGTTTATGGACGGAAGTCAGTAAAGTGCTCAGTGGTAGTTAAGGTGGTTTAGTTTAAGGGAGGATGTTAGTAAAGTGTTAATCCAATTAGTTTTGGAAGGTCAACAATATTGGCCTGTTTAATGAGTTTGTTAAAGTTGTTAATTCTGTTTAGCATGTTGGTTGTTAATTCTGTTTAGTATTTCTGTTTTACTGCTGTAACAGTTTGTATTCTGTTAGTTTTCTGTTTTGCTCTGTTTTACTTTTCACTATAAATGTATCGCTACTGTACATTTCATTATTGACTTGAATATGCAGAAGAATTTCAGATCTCTTTTTCTTTGTTCTTCCCTGTTTATCTTCGTACCTCTCACAACTACGAACGTAGCAGCAGCTGTAAAAAATCATAAAAAATAATTGTTATAATATGATTTTAACAACTAAGAAAGAACATTGGTAATATACAATTATATCATGTCATTCAACTGTGTAGTAATATAAACGACATAGTATATCAGATCTATGAAGAATTTAACAAAAGAATGAAATATATTTACCACAATTAAAAGAAGAGAGCGTGTAGTAGGACGGCAGAAAATTGGATGGTCTTCATGTTTTTTCTTTGAGTTCAAGTGCGGGAATGTGGTTTTGAGATGTTTGATTGCTTATTGCTTGATTAGTTTGTTTGCAAAGTATATATACATATGTCTATGTTCACCAGAAAGTTGCTGCATATTCAATATATTGCTTCCGAATATCAAATAGCGGACATTTTAACAAAGGCTCTAGCTAGTACTAGATTCGCAATGCTAAGGGACAAGCTGAAAGTCAGTTCTTCTTTGCCAAGTAGTGCTGATACTTAAGAAAAATATTTCTGATTCAAACTCAATGTTAGTAACAGAGTTGTTTGCAGTGAGATTGTGTTATGCTAATAAGGGGTCTGCAGTGACATTGCGTTATGTTGATAAGGTGTCTGCAGTGAGACTGTGTTATGCTGATAAGGTGTCTGCAGTGAGATTGTGTTATGCTGATAAGGTCTTCTTTTTACGGGCAGATATTGGGTATCAACAAGGCTGCTGAGTAGGTAGTTTAGTAGTTTGTTTTAAGGGAATATATGAAGTATAAAGGCTGCTGAGTAGGTAGTTTAGTAGTTTGGTTTAAGGTAAGATATGAAGTATAGAGGCAGTCTAGTAGTTTGGTTTAAGGGAAGATATGAAGTATAGTTGGGGTTGTTCATGTAAAGAATAGAATTACTAATAATCTTGGGGCTGTGTCTGAAAAATATCAGACTTGTGTAACCTTGGGGGTGTGTCTGCAAAATATCAGACTTGTGTAAATGCGGTGCGTTTTGTCTTAACAATGCTTATGTATATGGTTAGCACCTGCAACTAATTCATTAAGTAAAGAAATTCATTTTCTTCAGTTGTAACAGATTCTCTCGTTTGTTCTCTGGTTTTCTTGGTTTCTTTTCTTGATTTTCTTCAAATCCTTCACTTAAACAAACATCGAACTATAAATTACAAGGAAACAAACTCTGACATGCAGCTGGAATATTACATATCACATAATGAGCAAGAGAAAGCCACTTATTTATAAAACAAGACACATATTGGGAGCTTTGAATCAATCAAGCTTTCAAGTTCAAACCTGATCCACTCAGCTTCGTTTCCATGATGTTATCCATTCTTTCACCCATCTCAAATGTCAAAAAGTTTTTCCAATCTCCAACTTTACCTTTCCGAAAGTACAAATTGTTATCAACTGTGCCACCGTCAACATCAGCATGAGGACTCTGTCCTTTCTTATTAATATCTAAATTGCTGAGATTCTCGAAGCTGCATAACTCCATAATTTTGTTCACTACTCCTTCCCTTTCTTCCTCCAAAGAGAAAGGATGCCCAACAAACTCAGCAATCTTCTTCAAGTGAAATATAGTATCCTTCTTCATGTCTTCATATTTTAGAAAATAAAACTGATTTGGGCATTCCAGACTCGCTTTCCAGTACTCTAAAACATGGTCCCAATAGGGTCCATATGGAGATTTTCCATTACAGAACAATTCAAAGGCCTCCTCTAAAGAGATTTCTTCATGGCTTTTGCTTCTCATTTTGTTTAGATAATGCCACAATGAAACAAATGTATCCTTTGGATCCCTGCAAATGTATATAACTTTGCATTTAGATTCTGTTATAGATTTTGGCAAGGAAGAGAATGAGATATGTGTGGCCCAAACCGAGAGGCCCCCAGCTGGCTTAGGCATAGTTGGATTCTTAAAGTAATCCATCTCCAATGAAGGAACACAATCATGAGGTAATTTTGTGAGTAAAGGGTTTGAAGATAAATCGAAATGGTTTCTAGTTGCAATGGCAAAAGTGAGTGCCTTAAGCCAACTGGTTCCTGTTTTTGGAGCATTGCACAAAAAAATGTCACCAGGTTGAGCCTGGAAGTTTTTTTGAGCCAAAATGGTTCCTTCTAAAACGAAAGGGTTGTACCAAAAGCCTTGGTATAGGTAAAGAGGCTGGCAGAATTTCCATCCGTTGTCTTTTGGAAGGGTTGAAATGAGATCTTTGAAAGATGTTGGGGTTTTTGAAAAGTCTTGGTTTTCTTTAGAGGATTTGAAGAGATGGCTTGACTTTTCAGAGGGAAATGAGGATTCCATGGGGTGGTGGAGCACAGTGGAGCACATTTTAGCAACTCAAACGAAAATTGAAATAAGGCTTCTGAGTTTGAAGAGAAGAAAGAATTCGTCCTTCATTTATAGAGGATTCATTAATAAAAAAACTCAGCAATTTGAGTGACTGCATTTGCATGATTCATGTGAATTGACAAATCGACAATTTCATGAATGATTTGGTTTTCTTTATTAGAAGATAATTATGAATGATTTACTTTCACTAAACTAGGCCGTGAATGGTTGATATCAAATAAACAATGCAAGTGCACAAATCTTTTCAATAAATTATCAACCAGCTAGCTTTTTTAATCATATCATAATTTCTTATATATATACACACATATATATATGAGAGGAGGAGTTCTTAATAACTTGTAGAGAGTTTTCGTAAAAAAATGTCTTCTATTTTATAGTAAAATTTTTTTCTTTCAAACTTTTATTTATGCCAACATTTTATTGAATTAATATATTTAATATTTTTCATGTTNCAAAAATCTTACACAAAATTCTATTCAAGATAAATAAAAATTCGTCCACTCATTTAGCTGATCTCAACTCTTCATTAGGCTTTTGTGATGCTTGCAAAATGGGTAAGATACACATAAATTACTTTCCTATTTGTCATACTAGAGCAACTCAACCACTTGAAATTGTTCGTAGTGATATTTGGAGTCCAGCCCCTGTCACTTCCTTAGAAGGTTTTAAATACTATATATACTTCACTGATGATTATAGTAGATATACATAGATGTTTCCTTAAAGAACTAAGGCTAAAGTACACACCGTTTTTGTTAAATTTCATCATTTGGTTGAAAGACAATTCGATTATAAGTTGAAATATTTACAATCTGATCAGGGAGCTAAATACAAGGGTTTAATTCCTTACCTAACCAATGCTGGCATACTTTTTAGGCACTCTTGTGCTTACATTCACCAAAAAAATGGTAAGAGTGAAAGAAAACATAGACATATTGCTGAAACTAGCCTTACGCTCCTTATGCATGCATTCATGCCTTTACATTTTTTGTGGTTGGCCTTTGTTAGTAAACTATTTAATGAGGTTGTTAAAGCTGTTAATTCAGTTTAAGAAGTTTGTTAAAAAGTTGTTAAGTCAGTTTTACTGCTGTAACAGTTTTGTATTATGTTAACTTTCTGTTTTACGTTTTTGCTCTGTTTTACTATAAGTATCTTGCTATTGTACTTCTCTTTTAACAAGTTGAATATTCAAAAGAATTTCATATCTATTCTCCTTTGTTCTCCTCTATTTTTCTTCATACCTTTCTCATGGTATCAGAGCCATTGACAAACGTCATAAATGGTTGATCTCTCTCAATTCTCTCTCAATCAAAATACCTCAAGTCACAAGTTGACTTCTAAAACTGAAAGTTCTTTAGTATCTCCAGCCATGGCGTCTTCAACCCTACCTGTTATCTCTCCCAAACTTACCAGAGATAATAATAGATTCTGGAAATCACAGATTCTATTTGCAGCAGGTTCTCATGATCTGGAGGAACATCTCACCGGTTTGATTTCATGTCCAGCCCCCTTTTATCAAGATCCAAAGTGAAAGTTCTGATGGAGTTATAGAAAAGAAACCTAATCCAGCTTATGTTCAGTGGAAAAAGACAAATAAATCACTAGTAAGTTGGCTTCTTGGATCCATATCTGAATCAATGTTTTCTATTGTGTCAAAGTGTCAATTTTTTGCTGAAATGTGGATTGTTTTAGAAAAAGAGTTCCTTACTAAATCTAGATCTAGAACCTTACATATCAAGAACTTACTACAAAGTACAAGGAAAGATAATCTAAGTATTCATGATTACTTCATGAGAATGAAAGGATTTGCTGAAGTTTTATCATCCAGTGGTATAACAGTCACTGATGAAGAATTGTTAAACTACATTCTTAATGGCTTAACTTCAGAATATGACGCTGCAGTAGTAAATATCACCACTAGACTTGAGTCTAGACTTGATCCACTTTCTGTCCAGGAAGCACAGATAATTCTACAAAAGTATGAGTTGAGGTTAGAAAAAGCTAATCTAGTGATGAACTCAATGGTTAATACTGAATTCCAAGGTGGGTTTGTTAATCTTGCCAACCTTACAACTGGTGAGAGTCACAAGAAATATCATAGTGAAAATCACCCTTTCAATGGTGAACAGTCTCGGTTTACACCTATGCCACGTCTTGGTTTTGCATCCCACAATTCAAGTACTCCTCAAGTTGCTCNAGGTTATGTATGTTGTTGTCTATGTTGATGACATATTATTGACAAGAAGTGATGATAAGTTAGTTCAAGATATTGTGCACAAACTGAATCTTGAATTTGCCTTAAAAACCTTGGGTTCTCTTAAGTATTTTTTGGGATTTGGAGTTCAAAGAACAGATTGAGCAGTACATATGAGTCAAGATAAATATGCACGGGATTTACTGCTTAAAATTGGAATGTCAGACTCCAAACCATGCTCCACTCCAATGGCATTAGGAAACAAATTAACATTTGAGGATAGTGAGCCATTTGTCAACCTATCTCTCTACCGGAGTACCATTGGTGCACTACAATACCTCACACTATCCCGGCCTGAGATTGCATTTTTTGTCAACAAATTAAGTCAATTTCTAAAAGCTCCCACTCAACTTCATTAGCAAGCTTGCAAAAGACTTCTTCGATATATTAAAGACATTTCAAATTTTGGTGTCAAGTTCACCAAAATTCAAAGATTTCATCCTGAATGCTTCACTGATGCTGACTTAGGACAGACAACCAACTAGCGGCTGCTACTTATTCCTTGGATCTAACTTGCTGCAATAGAGCTCCAAGAAACAAAAAGTAGTGGCACTATCTTCTACTGAAGCTGAGTATAGAGCTCTTGCTCTAGGTGCAACATAAATAGCCCGGTTTCATAGTTTATTCACTGAAATGGGTCTGCATCTTCCTGAAGTTCCTGTTATATGGTGTGATAATCAGAGTGTTGGCTCACTTGCATCTAATCAAGTTTTTCATGCTCGAACAAAGCATATTAAGTTAGATATGCATTACATCAGAGAACAAATTGCAGCCAAAAAGCTAAAAGTCTGCTATGTCCCCACAGAGCACCAAACCGCAGACATTTTTACCAAATCCTTGTCCATTACGAGATTTGAAGCTCTCAGATATAAACTTACGGTTGTTTCCTCTCTTCTGTAGGAAACCTCAGATTCTAAAGTCACCCCCCCTGATCAAGAAATCTGAGTTATCAACTCTCTCTATTTCAGATTGACTCTGTTGACTCTATAGATAATACTGGTGTTTCATCTAATTAGTTTAATACTGGAGCTTCGTCAGATCAGTTTACTGAAAAGAAATGCTAGATCAGGTTAATGAGAGTGCTGCTGCTAACATGGTTCAGAATTAGACATTAGTATGGTGACTTTGTAAGATAATACTAGTGCTTCATTAGATTAGTTTAATACTGAAGCTTCATCAAATCAGTTTACTAAAAGAACTGCTGGATCAGGTTAATAAAGTGTTGCTGCTAACATGGTTCAGAATTAGAAGTTAGTATGCATGATAAAAAAGGTGGCTTGGTTTATGGAAGGATGTCAGTAAAACACTAAATGGTAGTTAAGATAGTTTAGTTTAAGGGAGGATGTTAGTAAACTATTTAATGAGGTTGTTAAAGCTATTAATTTAGTTTAAGAAGTTTGTTAAAAAGTTGTTAAGTCAGTTTTACCACTGTAACAGTTTTGTATTCTGTTAACTTTCTATTTTACATTTTTGCTCTGTTTTACTATAAGTATCTTGCTAATGTACTTCTCTTTTAACAAGTTGAATATTCAAAAGAATTTAAGATCTATTCTCCTTCGTTCTCATCTGTTTTTCTTCATACCTTTCTCAGCCTTTGATTCATCTGTATTTCTCATAAATAGACTACCGACTTTAGTTCTGAATTTTGTCTCTCCATAATAGACTTTGTTTTGCTGTGAGCCTCTTTACTTAACTATTAAAGTTTTTGGGTGTGCTTATTTCCCATACTTGAGAGATTTTCAAAAACACAAGTGTGTTTTTCTTGGTTATAGCCTTGTGCACAAGGGTTATAAATGTCTCAACTCTGATGGTAAAATTTTTATTACACCTAGTGTTCAATTTAATGAGACAAAGTTTCCCTTCGCGTTTGGTTTCTATTATGATGTGTCCAAGTGTTCCACTTCTTAAAGTTCTTTAGATTCTTCCATTCCTTCACATCTTAAGTCTTAAGTCTCTAGTATTCCTTTTGTTTCAATTCCATCAGCAACTGATAGTAGGTCACAAGTTACTCCTGCAGTGGATTGCCCTCTAGCAAATCCTTCTTCAGTAGTTGGTAAGTCATCTTCTTCTCCTTTGATTGATATTTCTTCTACTTTATCTACTTGTTCTAATTCACCTTTACACCATCCTATACACTCCTCAATATCACCTGTTTCCTCTAGTGATAGTCCCACTCGTGTGCATAATACTAGCACCTCATTATGCATGCCCACTACATCTTCTTCAACTCTATCACCTTGTCCTTTAATTGTTGATCTCACCTCATTTTCTCCCTTGAAACACAAATCTCAACCACAACCAACATTGAAACAGTTGAGTTCACCTAGCTGCCCACTTATTATTGACTTGCACTCATCACAGTTCCCTACTAAAACATGCCCACAAAATATCTCTTCCACCAATACACATCCCCTACAAATAAGAGCCAAGACAGCCTCCCAACGAGTTCTTAGCAACCCAACCTTTCAACACATTATTAATCCTAAAAATACAGCCTCCAAAAACACTGATGGCCTTCAGCCAACATCTAAAAAAACCACTGCTCTTATCATTTCAAAACTTGCTCCTCTATCACCTGCATATTCAAAACCCTCAACAATTATAGAAGCACTGACTAATCCTAACTAGAATAAGGCAATGCAGGAAGAGTCTAATGCTTGAATGGCTAATGATACTTGGGGTATTAGTTCCTAAAACGTCATATATGAATGTTATTGGAAACAAATAGGACCTTAGAACAAAGTTTCATGCTGATGGGAGTTTACAAAAGTATAAGGCTAGATTAGTAGCCAGAGTATTCCAACAAACTCCAAGGTTGGATTACTTTGAAACCTTCAGCCATATCATCA